CTTTGACCTCCCCGCCCCAAGGGAGAAGCAGCCTTGCTAGGCCACAGAGGAGGACACTGCAGCCAGTCCTGAAGAGACCTGATAAGCTAAGGCAGATGGAAGGGGAGGAGGACCTCCCCTATCAGTGGACTTATAGAGGGGTAGGGAGGGGATGAGGGAGGGAAGGTGGGATTGGGACGGAATGAGGGAGGGGGCTACAACTGGGATACAAAGTAAATAAACCATAATATATATATATATATATATATATATATATATATATATATATATATATATAAATTTAATAAAAAGAAGAGTTAAAAAAAAGATCCAGCTATAGCACTCCTAGGCATATATCCAAAATATGATCAAGTATACAACAAGGACATTTGCTCAACATGTTCTTGCAGCTTTATTTTTAATAGCTGCAATAGAAGCAACCCAGATGCCCCTCAATTGAGGAATGAATACAGAAATTGTGGTACATTTACACAATGGAATACTACTCAGCAGTTAAAAACAAGGAAATCATGAAATTTGCAGGCAGATGGTGGGAACTAGAAAAGATCATCCTGAGTGAGGTATCCCAGAAGCAGAAAGACACACATGGTATATACTCATTTATAAGTGGATATTAGATATATAATATAGGATAATCATACTAAAATCTACACACCTAAAGAAGCTAAGCAAGAAGGAGGACCCTGGGTAAGGTGATCGATCAATCATCACTCAGAAAGGCAAATAGGACAGACATCGGAAGAGAGAGAAAACAGGAAACAGGACAGGAGCCTATCACAGAGGGCCTGTGAGAGACTTTACCCAGCAAGGTATCAAAGCAGATGCTGAGACTCATAGCCAAACTTTGGGCAGAGTTCAGGGAATCTTATGAAAGAAGGGGGAGATAAGACGTTGGGGTGGGGGACAGGAGCTCCACAAGAAGAACAACAGATCAAAAAAAAAAAAATCTGGGCACAGGGATCTTTTCTGAGACTGATACTCCAAGCAAGGACCATGCATGGAGATAACCTAAAACCCCTAGAACCCCTGCACAAATGTAGCCTATTTCTCCAAGTGAGTTCCCCAGTAATGAGAACAGGGACTGTCTCTGACATGAATTTAGTGGCTGGCTCTTTGATTACCTCCCCTTGATGGGGGAGCAGCCTTACCAGGCAACAGAGAAAGACAATGCAGCCAGTCCTGATGAGACCTAATAGGCTATGTTCAGAGGGAAGGGGAGGAGTACCTCCCCTATCAGTGGACTTGTGAAGGGGCATGGGAGGAGATGAGGGAGGAAGGGTGGGATTGGGAGTGGATGAAGGAAGGGACTACAGCTGGGATACAAAGTGAATAAACTGTAATATATAAAAATAAATAAACTAAAAAAAGAAAACATGTAAAACTCAAAATCAAATGATACATTTCAGAACCAAAGGAGGCAGATGCTTAAGGAAACCTTTAGATCAGCCAGTTATCCCTGGGTAGTGAGAATTTCATGAATTTATTTCAAGTTAACTTTTGTGGAAAGAATATTTGAGCATCAAACTCACAGGGAATGAAATGAAAAGTAATATTTGGATTCTTTTTTTATGTATAACCACAGGTTTACAGTTTCTATGGTTAGGTAAAGCACAGTCCAGAGATCAGCATCTACAGGTACAAGTATTATTAAAAGTTATAGAAACTTTTTCACTAAAAAAAAGACTGAATAGGTTAATTGGTGTGGTGCCTTGAATGAGGATGGTTCCTACAGGCCATTTTAATTTCCTCTCATGATAAAGTATGACAGTCTACTTAAAAAATATTCAAACATGGGGGCTGGAAAGATGGCTCAGAGGTTAAGAACATTGGCTATTCTTCCAAAGGTCCTGAGTTCAATTCCCAGCACCCACATGGTGGCTCATAACCATCTATAGTGAGATCTGGTGCACAGGCACATATGCAGGCAGGATGCTGCATACATAATAAATAAATAAATCTTTAAAAAAAGCACTGGCAAAATATTCAAACATACTGTATTAGATTTTAGCCCCCCCGCCCCGCCTTTTTTTGACATAGGGTTTCTTTGTGTAGCCCTAGCTATTCTAGAACTCATCTCTCTGTATAGAACAGGCTGGCCTTAAACTCTCAGAAAGCCAATTCCCCACTGAATACTGGGATTAATGACATGAACCAGTGCTTGGCAGATTTTAGTTCCTTTGACAAGATATCTTATATAAACAACTTAACAGAAGTAAGGACTTATTTTGCTTGCTTGATCTCTCCTTGATATCACTGTCTTCAGTCCTAGGCTGCCTGGCTCCATGTTTCTAGGCCTGCTGTGTAGTTCAGCCTAATGCCAGAAGCGTACGTGACAGTAGAGATGTTATGTTTATAGTGGTCAAGAAGTGAAGAGAGATGACGCAAGGACAAGAAAGACTGTCCCAGGGAATGTCCCCATCATCCTTTCTCTACTAGACCTCACCTCCTACTTTTTACCACATCCCAGTAATTTCACGTTATCCATTAATGCTCTGTCTTGTGAGTGCTGGTATTAAAAGTGCTGATCATCTGGGGCTGGAGAGATGGCTCAGAGGTTAAGAGCACTGTCTGCTCTTCCAGAGGTCCTGAGTTCAATTCCCAGCAACCACATGGTGGCTCACAACCATCTATAATAGGATCTGGAGCCCTCTTCTGTCATGCAAATGTACATGCAAATAGAGCACGCATATGTAAAATAAAGAAATAAATCTTTTAAAAAAAAAGTGCTGATCATCAAGCCTGGCTCCTGTGTTCTTGTATTAGGGACTGGAACAGAATGAACAAGACAAAGCGTTTTACCATGAAGTCAATTAAGTACATTAAAACAAACAAACAAACAAACAAAAAACCCAAAAAAACAAGATGAATTTTGGAAATGATAACTACATTTTAAGAGGGTCATTTTAATTTAGATATGGTTAGTATTTTAGAAGACATAAATCAAATGGCTTTCATTTACCATCACAAGACCCAACTAAAACAGTAAGTAAAAATGGATACCAAGAAGTGGAAACAACAGGTTTGATGGAGCATCCCTTTGATACTGGTGCTCATGGGTCAGGGACAGGTGGGTTAGGGTGAGGTTGAGGGCAGATAAGGCTGCATAGTGAGACCCCGTTGTTTTAAAAGAATGAAAACCCCAACCATTCGATTTTACCAATGAAGACTCAGGAGCCAAATGCTGGGGTGAAAACCTCCTAGCTCAGAGAGGCAGAGAAAGCATCCAGGTGACCCCCTTACTCAGTTCACATCCCAGAAGAAAAAGGCCAAAAGCCCAAAGCTAAAATCTTGCTAGCTCACCCAATAGCTCAGGAGGAAAAAGTCAAAAGGTTAAAAATCAAACAGCCAAAGAGGTGGAAATTCCCAAAGAGCTGAAGCGCTCAAGCGCTAAAGCCCTCTTCTTCTCCATGCTGTCTACCCTTCAACTCAAAGTCCCTCCTTTCAGCTGGTTACTTGCTGACCTCTTGACCTTTGGTTAACTTTATTAAATCCTGTGTACAGAAAGCTCTTGGATTAAAAGTGTGTGCTAGGGCTGAGCCACACCATAATTTCCTGTTTACAATAAACAGAAAGGTCTCGGATTAAAAGAGTGTGTTAGGACTGAATCACACCAAACATGAAACAGGTTTTTACAGTTCACAATCTCTGGGATCACAGTGGGATCAAATAACCTGCAAAAAGACCCTGTCTCAAACAAAACAAAAGAGTGGAATCTGTCATTTTATTCTAAAGTACCATCCCACAAGCTGATGAACTTTAGTATCCATAGTACAAACAGATCAAAGTAGTAAGACAGTAAAGAAGTAAACCAAATTCTAAAGTAATTAAAAAATTACTTGCCAGTAAGAGCCAGGATATATGCTGGGGATGGTGGCTGTTATCCCAGCACTTGGAAGACTGATTGGGCCAGAAGGATCACTAGGAGTTCAAGGTTCTGTCTCAGTAGGGCCACAGAAACAATGTATCAAAAAAGATTAAAAAAAAAAAAAAGCTCCCCAAATTACACTTCAACTGTAACAGGGCCCCAGACCTTAGCACAAGTGACTCCATGATGAAAGTACCATTGATCATATAGACAATACTAACCGCCAAACGAAAACAAAGCCCTAAATCATCAAATTCCGTAGTTCTGGGAAAGTGTCTAAATGAATTAGCTTTGCTTTTTGGCTTCTGTAGTTTTGCTTCTGGCTAACTGTTCTTGTTAACTTAAGTATGTCAATACAGGACTCTTTTTTTTTTCTTCCCCTTTTCTTGATTTAAAGCTCACCCTGAGAAAGGCTCCGAGCTACACTGGGATCCAGAACACTCAGTGGCTAGCTAATACAGACTTTCTCTCGGCTTAAACCCATATCCCAGCAGTCTTCTCTGGTGGATATCCTACAATACTAGTGTTTCAGACAATTCTGTTCTAAATGAACCTGTGCCATCATAAAAGCATTTGCTTACATTTACCTTTTAGACATATTACCAGAAAGATCATATCATATATCACACCTGGTCCTCTGGAGTCCCTCAAAATACAAACGAGCCTAAAGGCTTAGATCCTCTCAAGGAACCTTCATAATAACACGATTATACACTTAGCGTTCTATAGTTAACAGGTTATTGTCTCACTCCGCTGGTTTGGGTACTTTACAGTTTGCTTTGTGATTAGTTCCCAAAGCTAGTAGCGGAGACCGACTGGGTACGCCCTGGAAGTAAAGATGCTTTCTGCAAGGACGCCCATTATCTCCGGTAATCACTCGCTAGACTAGAAACTGTCCCGCCCCACGACTTCATAAAAGTGCTGTCTTAGGGGGCAAACTTATGTCTTTCTTTTTGGAACTCTCAGCTTTCATTTCCAACCCAAAACGTTTCCTAAAACACGGTAATCCCGTACAGGGTAAGAAGAAACAGTACAATTTCAAGACTGCGCCTGCGCGCGCCGTGACGCCAGTACTTCCGGCCCGCTGCCGTCAGCTCCGCCGCGTCTACTTCCGGTCTGTGACGTAGCGCTTCATTCCCTGCTTGTTTTCTCCGGTGACGGGAGGAGAGTGGATCCGGTCTGCGCGGGAGTCTGGCGCTCGGCGTGGAGGGGCAGCGAGGTTTCGCGCCGCGGGTCTGAGCCGTTTCGTTGGCGGCCGAAATCGCGGAGAAACCGAAAGGCAGCCGCGCCGCTCCGCGCCGCTCCCCGCCGCTTCGCTCAGGCTGCGAAAAGCCGAGTCGCCAGTGAACTGTAAGTACGCGGGGCAAAGCGGGTTCACTGCACCTCTGCTTTTTAAATACCTTGTTGGAGAGAATTTGTGGGTTGAGACAGTCACTTCGCAGTTACGCAGGCGCCTGTAACTAAACCCTTTGTAACTAAACGTCTGTACCTAAAGCCCCTCAGGCGCTGCCGTTTCCTTTGCTGTTGGCGTTATGCGGCAGCGGGATCTAGAAGCGCAAATTGGTATTGCATCTAGTAGACTAATGAATTTAATGGGGAAAATGCCAAAGGGGCTGCAGATTTAGAGATAAGAAATGAAACTTAAGACAGAATAGACACTAGCTCATGTTCCACTTAGTTGCTATTTTCCTTAGACTCTGTAATTAACAGCTTAAATTATACTTAGTAATAGTGTTTGTTTTTTTTTTTTCTTTACTCTTGTAGGAGCTGGAATTTTTTAGTGCAGCAAGTATTTATTTGAAAAATAACTCAGAAGGAATTAAGGATGAGTAAGAGCAAAGATGATGCACCTCATGAACTGGAGAGCCAGTTTATCATACGATTTCCCCCCGAATATGCCGCTACTGTGAGGAGGGCAGTGCAGTCTGGACACGTCAACCTGAAAGACAGACTAACTATTGAATTACATCCCGATGGCCGTCATGGAATTGTCAGAGTGGATCGAGTTCCATTGGCCTCAAAATTGGTAGATTTGCCTTGTGTTATGGAAAGCTTAAAAACTATTGATAAAAAAACCTTTTACAAGACAGCCGATATCTGTCAGATGCTTGTATCCACAGTAGATGGTGATTTATACCCTCCGGTGGAGGAACCGGTTGCCACTGCTGATCCCAAAGCCAGCAAGAAAAAAGATAAGGACAAAGAGAAAAAGTTTGTTTGGAACCATGGAATTACTCTACCTCTTAAAAATGTCAGAAAAAGAAGGTTCCGGAAGACCGCAAAGAAAAAGTATATCGAATCTCCAGACGTAGAAAAAGAAGTGAAGCGGCTGCTGAGTACAGATGCAGAAGCTGTCAGTACTCGTTGGGAGATAATTGCTGAAGATGAAACGAAGGAGACAGAAAACCAAGGCCTTGATATCGCCTCTCCAGGAATGTCTGGCCGCAGGCAGGGCCATGACTCCTTAGAACACGATGAGCTTCGAGAGATATTCAATGACCTCAGCAGCAGCAGTGAGGATGAAGAAGATGTAAACATCATTGATACTGAGGAAGATCTGGAGAGACAGCTACAAGACAAGCTAAATGAATCAGATGAACAGCCCCAGGAAAACAAAGGAACTAATCAGTTGGTTATGGGGATTCAGAAACAGATTGATAACATGAAAGGCAAGCTCCAAGAGACCCAAGACAGGGCAAAGCGCCAGGAGGATCTCATCATGAAAGTAGAAAACCTGGCTCTCAAGAACAGGTTTCAGGCTGTTCTGGATGAACTCAAACAAAAGGAAGACCGGGAAAAGGAGCAGCTTAGCTCTTTGCAAGAAGAGCTAGAATCACTTCTAGAGAAGTGAGAATGTTGATTTGAATTCTTAGATTAGTCAGCTTGAGAAATATTTTCATAGTAAGATCTCATAGTTCTTATTTCCTATAATGCTAAGAGTTTTGTTGATTTTTTTTTTTCCCTCAGAACCAGTGTGCTGGGTTTTCATTCTTGAAGTAGGATTACATAGGCAGGTTTATTGTGAGAAAGTTGTATGTAAGATGAGTGAAAAGAATACTTGAGCTTCAATCACTTCACCATAGGATTTTTTTTTACTGTAGTGTGTTTCCCAGAAGTTTCTATTCCTTTTATTTGGTGCTAAGATGAGTAAGAAGCTAACCTACAGGCAGTGAAGTAAGTTCCTGTGTTTGTTGTTTATTTTTTAAAATCTGTTAATCATCTCTTTCTCTAGATGTCCAGATAGACAGACATATAGACATATAAACAGATAATAGCTATTAGCTCCTCAGAAAGTTTCCATGTTATAGAAATGCAAGTTATTTCATAAAGTTGTTTCTTATACAATTAAAGCTGCTAATTTTCACGTTATAATTTTATCTTGTTCTTTGATAATAGTGCAAGTTGAGGTGGGTTCACGGAGTTTAAAGACTGAATGGTGTGTTCATATTTGTTGTTAAAGGTACATGCTGGTTTTGTGTGTGTGTGTGTGTGTGTGTGTGTGTGTGTGTGTGTGTGTTTTCAGAAAAAGGAATACATAGAGGTAAGAAAATGGTGAAAGTCATCTTTGAATTAAGGTTCAAGTCCACCTGCTCCATCTGGAGGTGTGAAAACACTGAGTCTAGAGCCTTCTAAAACTACCCTATTTTCATCGATGAACATCTGTATGTTTTTATTAAGCACTAAGGTTATCAAAAACACTGGAAGCAATTAAACTGGTTATCAGATAAACCATTCCACTTCCTTAGAGTATATTTTTAACTACTGCCAGCTTAATTGCTACAATTATTTAATAGGCTGATGTTTGTTCATATTAATTCATTAGTATTTCCCATTATGAAAGCCTGTATCCTGGTCTGATACTGTCAAATTTTTATACACTTAATTTTTCTCCAAAGCATTTAATGTTTTACAATTGAGAAAAAGTTAGATTAATAAGGTACATAGTTAAAATTAATTTTTGTCCTATTGATTTGTAAAACTTCAGTTGGAAAATACTTGCTTCATCAAACAATCAGTTCTCAGGAACCGTTAGTAGTGAAGTGTTTAAAAATCAAGTATTATGATGTCGAGTCCAGAATCAAACTTCTTAATACTTACAAGTAATATTCCTCACAGCTGGTCATTTATCTTTACCAAAATATTTTTGTGCTCTCATGACTGCAGTGTAGCTTAAGAAAGATTCTCTCAATATCTGGCTTTAGAATATTACGATCAGAAAATATCTTTTTGATTTTGTTTTTTTAAACAAAGTGGCTAGTGACAAATTCTTAGTAGATTTAAGGTATTTTACTTAAAGAATTGTCACTAGAGAAGACAGTATTTTGTCAAACATTTCTTACTGAGATCTGGTTACATATAATGCCTGAATGCTATCAGTATTGGAAGGATGTTGGATGCACATTTTTTATTAACAAAATATCCTGCTGGTCAGGTCCTGGTTCAGTTAGCTCACTTGGATTCTCAAATCTATAATTTAAGTCTGATATGAACTTAGATTTAGTATATTCAGCTGTGTCCTGGAAATGCTTAAAAGCCACCCCCTGGCAAGCCAACTATATGTGTTCAAAATGGAAGTCATCCAGCCCCTTTCATTGAGAACTTGCCCTTCTGATTTGCTACTGCCAGCTGTCACAGCAACTGAAGCCCACAACTATAGTCTTAACACCTTGATGTCAAAGCACACCTGTGTGTATCATGGATCAGTGATTTTATTGTGTGATTTTTGGGCCACATACTTTGTAGCAAATTGTTTGCTTCAGTTTTCTTATCTCTGAAACTGAGGTGATAGTATTACCAGCTTCATAGGGCTATTGGATTGATTTAAATCATATGACAGACTTAGAACAATGCCTGGAATATGGTAAACTGGATTGGATCATAGTAAGCATTAAACAGTCTTTTGTATTAGAGAGTGATAGAAATGACAGTAAAGTGTTTACAAAGAAATTATTTCTTAATTTTAAAAATTTTATCTTTTAATTTTCAATTATTTGTTTGTTTGTTTTATGAATGACTCATGGTGTAGCCCAGGATGGACTTGGACACAATACTCCTGTCTCATTCAAGTGCTGGGAATACAGGTGGTGAGGCCTGGCTTAGAAAAATGGTTGTTTTAAAGTGCTTGGCCAAGTGGACACTGAGGCCAGGATTCTTCTTCCCAGACCAAGCACACCAAGGAAACTGGGCTCACTCCTCATGCAGCAGACAGTTCTGCAGGGGGACCCATGTCCCCTACAGAGCTGTGCATGGATCACCAAATGTCCACTTGGAGCTTCCTTGGGACTGCATTTTCTCACTAACCAACTTGTGTCAGCCAGTTTGTTTCTACGGTTCTCATACTTTAAGACGCAGTTTAGAAGCAGGGACTGTAAGAGTATACAGGCCTTCCTGAAATGTGTGATGCAGCAGAGCACAGCTGAAAATGAGACAAGCTGCACACACAGACAGGGCTTCCCACCCCTGTGGCCGGCTGCACTCAGGTATGAATCACCTTAGACTCAATGAACATTAGAGCGAAATGATACTTTGAACAATCTTGTAAATAGACATCCTCACATTTGCATGCTCCAGGGGCATGTGTGTCTACAGCAAGGGCATGGCAGTTCCAGGATTGGGATTGTGGTCTCCTGACTTCCCCCGACTCCCTCCAGGATTTTGTCCTGAGGATGGATGAAGTCTCTGTTTACTCATAGTGCCATTGCTGACCATATAGAGAAGAGATGAGGCTATAGTTGAACCAACTGGTAAAGAATACTCAACTTGGCATTGCTCGTGTGCTGTTCAATTTAAATACATTGATCTTCCCCATCTGGAAAGAAAAAAAAAAAAGAAAATGGTTGTTTTAATTAGCTTTTGTTTTAGATTAAGCAAAGGCTCTAAATGTTTATAATTTGGAAAGTATTCTTCAAATATCTGCAGCATAAAAGTTGACTCAATGTATTTCTGTAGCCTTAATTATTTTGGAGCACCTTTATATTAATATTAAAAATGGCATAAGGAATGATTATCTGTTACATAAATATTAAAAGGTAAAGCATTAACTGAAGATTGAGATCCAAATAAATCCTGCATTATCGTGAAAGATTCACATTTCTCATGCGTATCTTGGCTAAGGAGTATGGTACAGAGATGAATATTTTTCAGTATTTCTGGGTTCATGAACAGGTGTTTTATTTTCCTGTTTGTATTTGCTGGGGTGGTGGGAGTGCTAGGCAGTTGCTATGTCACTGAGCTGCATGCAGATCTTGCCTCCATGAACACATTTTGAAGAAATAACACTTTAAAATACTAAAGATTCCCTATAAAGTAATTTAAATTACAAAGAAGCAACACCCTCTCATACCAACTAACTAGGACAATTTACATTAACATTTTAAGAAGCATTAGCGCACCTTTATTTGATGTGTCCATAACAGATTTATGCAGTTTTTTTAATAAAAAAATGATTTTGTTATATAGACCCTTTAGAAATCTTGTCTAAAAATATGAGTAGCCTTATCAGTGTGTGAATCTGTCATTTCCACAGTTTTTTCCTAATGTCACCATTGATATTAACTAACGGTAAGCATGGGATCTCATTAAAGTCTGTGCTCAGAGCTGTTGATTCCTATGATTTTTACCCTTTGAAGCCAGGTAACTTTCCCTGTCTCACAGAGATTAGAAAGTTTGTTTTTCTGTGTAAATTAAACCAGTGGAGGCCCCAACCCAGAACAGGCAAAGATTAAATGTGAAGGAGGTGAATGACAGCTTGAAAATGCAGGAATTTGTTTGCAAGCCTATATATATTTACTGTAGGGACCCTGTTAAGTCAGCGTTTAGGCGTACACATACACATTCAAGATTAGATGGTCGGGGACATGCCTGTTAAAAAGAGCACTCTTACAGAGGACCCTGTTAGGTTTCTAGTGCTTACATGGTAGATTACAACCAATCACAAGTGCAGATTGAAGGAATCCAACTCCCTTTAGATCCCCACAGGCACTGGGTTCTCAGTGGTGCACATACATGCAACATTCATAAAAAAACTTCTTTAAAAAATCTTAGAATATTATCTCCAGAAAAACATTTCCAGTGTCAACAGTTGCACGTCCTTCAAAGAGAGGCCATGTACTGCAAAACAAAAACAAAAACTGCCTACCTCTTACAGGCACAAGCTGATTTTTAATGCCTCACTGTTCTTGCTTTGTTTAATTTTGTTTGTGAGACAGGGTCTCTCTGTAGCTAGCCCTGGCTGTCCTGGAACTGGCTTTGTAGACTAAGCTGCCCTTGAACGGAGAGGTCTCCCAGTCTCTGTCTGGGATTAAAAGCATGTGCCACTACACCTGACTAAACCCTCACTTTAAAATGAAACATTTCAGCACTCTGACCCCAAGTTTGGTTATACCTCCAAGGTAGTGTATCTGTGGAACTCAGACCCTGCCTTCCCTTCCCTTTGTGCCATGGACTCGAACGTAGCAGCTCTCAAATAGTTTGTCTTAATTTTTGAGGCAGAGTTTCACTCTCCCTGGCTGGCATCAAACTCAAAGCTGGCCTCCAGCTTTTTGAATGCTGGAGTTAAAGGCATGTACCCCTGTGCATGGCCTGTCTTTTATTTCAAAGCTCTCTTCCTCTTGGTTGTGCCCTTTTAATTCAGACTGGATCAACTGAGAACATCTGTGACATTTTTCGCGGTAAGAAACGGGGAAATCTGGTCTTTAAAGGGGAAGCATCCTTCCAGCCTCAACTTGCTGTGGTATTGACGGTGAAGTAGCTGAGGTTCCGGCTAAGAAAGCACATGCTACCACTGATTTACACCCTCACTAAACGAAGAATCTCCTCGTACATAATTATGGGAGAAGTGGCCATATCACAATCACTGGAAGCATTCTGCTGCCGCCCGCGGGGACAGTGGGGCGCTGGTGGATGCGCGTGCTCGGGGGTTATTCCTGAGCGGCCAGGGTGGCCTTGGCAAGGAGACAGAGACACAAGGCTCACAGCGGCGGCCGTGGATGCCTACAGAAACTTGCCTTCTGACGACATCCATGGGGATGTGGACGAACATGAAGTCAACCGTGCCATCCAAACCGCCATAGACCTCACTGCGGGCGCTATAGGGGGCGCAGCGTGTGTGCTGACCGGGCAGCCCTTCGACACCATCAAAGTGAAGATGCAGACATTCCCCACCCTGTACAAAGGCCTCGCTGACTGCTTCCTAAAGACCTACAACCAAGTGGGTTTCTGGGGCTTATACAGAGGAACCAGCCCTGCACTGCTAGCCTACGTCGCCCAGAGCTCTATTCTATTCATGTGCTACGGCTTCTGCCAAGATTTTGTTAGGGAAGTGGCCAGAGTGGACGACAGTGAGGAGCTGAATGACTTGCAGAACGCTGCTGCTGGGTCAATGGCCTCTGCCTTTGCTGCACTGGCTCTCTGTCCCACTGAGCTCGTGAAGTGCCGGCTGCAGACCATGTATGAAATGAAGATGTCAGGGAAGATAAGACACAACTATAACACAATTTGGTCCATGGTTAAGAGTATCTTCATGAAGGAGGGTCCCTTAGGCTTCTATCGTGGATTCTCGACCACTCTAACTCAGGAAGTACCTGGCTATTTCTTCTACTTTGGGGGCTATGAACTCGGTCGATCATTTTTTGCATCAGGAGGATCAAAGGATGAACTAGGCCCTGTCCCTTTGATGTTAAGTGGAGGCTTTGCTGGGATCTGTCTCTGGCTTATCATATTCCCAGTGGACTCAATTAAATCCAGAATCCAGGTTCTTTCTATGTTTGGGAGGCAGGCAGGATTAATAGGAACCTTTATAAGTGTTGTGAGAAGTGAAGGAATATTAGCCTTGTATTCTGGAATGAAAGCCACTATAATTCGAGCCATTCCTTCCAATGCTGCTCTGTTTTTGGCCTATGAATACAGCAGGAGGGTGATGATACAAATTGCGGAAGAATACTGAAGTGTCTTGATGAACCCTTGTCTGAGCACACAAGTGTGAGAACCACAGCTCCAGATGTCAAAGATTTCAAGACCAACGACGAGTTTGATTGGGGATTTTGGGTTTGTCTTCCCTTCCTCAAATTTCAAACTTTGTGGAGAGATCTTTATATTATACAGTTTCTTCCCACAATCCCTCTGAAATAGGAAAATCACTGCCTTTGCTGGTGGTGGGATCCACAGGGTGAACCCGAGACCCTATGTACTTAATCGCGGTTATCAGGGCTTCTTCATAAACCTACATATGCATCTTGAATGGTTAGGTGTTGTGAGTGTGACATAACTTGGTTCCCTGTTTAGTTGCAAGTATCACCAACATCTAGAGTTGATCATATTTCATAAATATAGGCATTGTTTAATCTGTTCTAGATGTGAGTTACAGTTTAAGACCTGTTTAATTGTGCACCACACTAGGCTGCTAAAGTTTTTAAAGTTTTTTTAGGTGACCACCAAAACATTCCTGTTGATTTCTGAGAAAAAGTTGCACCTGCGTACCAGCATGGCTTCCACACTTGAGTAACATTTCAGAGTAGACATCCTGGATTTTGGATGTCTTAAATAGTATGGTTCATTTTCCAAGTATAGTTATATATTCTACACTGCTATGGCGCTGTTAGTTGGGGCCATGAGAATCAGGCATTTGGGAAGCAGTGTGGTCTTTACCTGCACTCATTTTCTCTCTTTCTTTCAGAGAAGCCAGGCTTTATATTGAGGAAGGAGCTAATGGGACGGGGGTATACTACTGTGCTTTGAGGATCCATGGAGGTGAAGAGAGTTCTAATTAGCTCCCTGTCTCTGGGTCTTGGCCTGGACAGGAATTCAGTGTTTTGTTGGTTCACTTAGGGGCTGTTGATTCACTTTAGATTACCCTTCGTTCTCTGTACCATCTCCTGTTCTTCCTGTAAACAGAAAGTAAAGAAGCCAAGAAAAGGTTTTGTTGTGTTTGGTGACAGAGAGCCCTGCTCGGTGAAGCCACTGCTTAGACAGTACTAGTGCACACCTCCTCCTAACATCATAGCAAGCAATGGGAAAAACGGCGCTTCACTCTTGAAGCTCACCTTGGGTCCATAACTGCGTGCAGTGCTGTCGGTGTTACAGCTTTCTAAATTTGGTTCTGGTGGTCAGTGAACTTTAATGACTGGATGTCGCAATATAAAATAATGAACCACAAGAAAAGTGGTTTTACTAAACTCTTATATACATCTAAAGAACAGACAATGCCTCCCATCAAAATTCCCAAATACACCAAAACAAGATGAAAGTGCCCCTCCCCAAATGGTGATTCAACTTCGTAACAGAGCCCTGGCTATCCCTGATTTGTAGACCAGGTCTGCCTCTGCCTTCCCAGCACTGGGATTAAAGGCATGTGCCATCACACCCTGCCCTAGAGTCATTCTTCATACTATTAAAGTAAGCTTCATCTTTCTGTGTTGCTACAACCTACACAGCTAAAAGAAGGTGAGGTACCAGTCTTAATAGTCCAGTCTACATGTGTCCTGCAACAGGCCTCTAACTTCCTTTTTTTAAAAAATACAAAACAATCAATGTGTATTTATTTAATATACATTGTAAGGGTTCCAGCAGACTTATTAAAAAAAAACCAACAACAAAAAAAAAAAACCCCACAACCCCCCCCCCCCCAAATAACTGCATAGCTTAGAAATCAAGGAAAGGACAGACCATCTAAGAACAAAGATGACACAAGAGAGAAGCTGGACAGTTTGCATCAGGGCTCTTGACTGGAGACCTGCTTTGAATAGGTTTCTTGAAGGTACCTCTTAAATGAAGGTACCTCTTAAATGCTGTGGGTTTTTTTCCAGAGCTCGGCAGCATGTGTGTTCAAAGGGTGATGGATGTTGGGTTCTCCTAGCAGGATCTGGAAAGAGAGAAAGATGGTCCTGACATCATACATCGAGGGCCACTTATCCTTGAGGATGTCCAGGCAGATAGATGCTGCCCTGGGTGTCCACATTGGGGGTGGTAGTAGGGCGTGAGGAACTTCACGGTTGGCACTTTGTAAGGGCTGCTGTGGACAGTTGGCAAAAGGTATTGCTCAGTATCACACCCAGTCTGCTCAGGATCTGCGGTTGTTTTCCATTTATTTGCTTCTAGTTGAAACCATTTGCTATTTTACTTGTCAGTTGTTTCTGTGTTTCAGTTACACGCATCACACTTGAGTAGCGAATACCACTGAGCAGTGCTTCATCTGAGTAGGCCTGCTTTCAAGCAGGTTAAAACAATGGGACTGGCTTCAGGCAGGAGGAGACATTTTAGTCTATATAGTACCCCAGCATAAACCCCACCATGAGCTACCCTGATAGCTCTGCTTTCAGCAAACTTGCTTCTCACATTTTATGCATTAAAAGTTTAAATGCCTTCAATGGAAATCCTATGAGGCAAGCAAGAGTAAATGGAAGTAGAGGGAAAACAAGAAAAAAATTCTAATTTAATTTTATTAACCTTTGGTTTAACATCTCGGTGCCTTTTGTATCATTTCAGATCTCTAGGCGAGAGAGAAGTAAAATTTGAGCAGGGGAGGCAGATGGGGACAAGCGCTATTGTCTAATCTTAGTTCTGGGGCATCATGTTACCTGAACCATCAAACAGTTATGAGATCAGGTCACGAGATCTCATGACCAGGTCACAAGAGTATGGGAAATCCTTGTTCAAGCAGTTAATCTTCATGAGAAGAGAGAAGCCTTCAACCAATCAAAAGGAAGAAGGATGGGTGATGTGACCAGATGACATAGGAAAAGATAAAATGCCACAAACTGAGACACTATCTTCAGACATCCTACTCATGTCTATGAGAGCAAGTATTACTCTAATAAACCTTATTCTAATGAACTTTGCTTGCTGAGGCTCTGTGTGCATCTTGTTGCAATCCCAGTGACAATGTAAGAATAGAAGATAACCCTATAATGGGACTCAGATCGACTGGGATTGTAAGGTAATACTGTCCTCTTCCATGAATAGAGGTCTACCCCTTGATCTCATTGGATGTCATTCTGCCTTGCACTAATAATTAAATCTATCCTGCTTTTCTTTCCTTATCTTCCCTCCTTTCCCTAGACTGTTTTCTTTAAGGATGAAAGCCCAAGCTTTCCACAGGCACCCCAGGAAACTGCCTTCCTTCTCCAGCCAGGGCAACTCTTTACTAGGACATGAAGACCAAGGAGAAGGGAGTTTGACAGTCTAAAGAAAAAAAAAAATCTCCTGACTTTATCCACTTTGTATTCTCTAATCTGTCTTCCTTTTTCTACCTTTTATAATTTTATCAGTCTTCTCTTCATTTCTAAGGCGTGTTTGGATGTAAAATGTAACAATGACATCAGTACCACTCACCATCTGTGCTGTTCCTCACTGTCTGTGGATACTTCTCACTTTACATTTTCTTCTTTGTCTGCCCTGGAATGGACCTTTAGATGTCAATGTTGGTGTACTTAAAAGCAAAGCAAAACAAAACAAAACAAAACACTTTTATTTATGTTTCTTGTCTTTTCTCCATACTCCACCACAATCTTCCCCAACACCCCAACACCAGGTAGGAGAGAGAAAGGGTTAGTGGGAGAGGGGACACAGTTCTTTCTTAGCTGCTTCCTGTTGGATAGCATTGTCGGGTTCCTTGGAGTCAGTCTAGTCCTTATTTTAGGAGATCTCCATCTTCTTGTCTCACAACAGCAACCAGAAGCAGCAAGGGGAAGCAGGAGCAGCATTGTTCTTTCTCTGAGGCTCCACATTTTCTAGACTCTGGTGTTTATTCTCTCTCCAGAGTCCTCAGATTCAAACTATCTGCAGCTGGCAAAGAGCTCCTCTTAGAGCCCCCATGAAGCGAATAGTCTGCTGCTGTGGGCCATCTGAGTCAGTCCCATATTCCACACCAGAATATTCTTTCTCTCATTTCTCTGTATCCCACATTGCCTTGGCCCTTACCCATCCACATTCTTATAAATTTTTTTTCTGCAAGTGTCTAGTATTTCTTTATGTGTGCTTCCTCTCTTTTTTTAAATTTTTTTATTAATTACACTTTATTCATTTTGTATCCCCCCATAAGTCCCTCCCTCCTTTCCTCCCGATCCCACCCTCCCTCCCCTTTCTGCATGCATGCCACTCCCCAAGTCCACTGATAGGGGAGGTTCTCCTCTCCTTTCTGATCTTAGTCTATCAATTCTCATCAAAATTGGCTGCATTGTCCTCTACCATGGCCTGGTAAGGCTGCTCCTCCCCTCAGGGGGAGGTGATCAAAGAGCAGGCCAATCAGATTATGTCAGAGGCAGTTCCTCTTCCCATTACTATGTAACCCACTTGGACATTGAACTGCCGTGGGCTACATCTGTGCAGGAGTTCTAGGTTATCTCCACCAATAGTCCTTGGTTGGAGTATGAGTCTCTGGGAAGTTCCCTGTGTTCAAATTATCTTGTTCTGTTGCTCTGCTTGTGGAATTCCCATCCCCTCCAGCTTTTACTATTTCCCACTTCTTACATAAAATTCCATTTACTCTGCCCATCAGTTGGCCATCAGGCTCAGCATCTGCTTTGACAGTCTATACTGCAGAGGCTTTCAGAGGCTCTCTGTGGCAGGTTTCAAGGTTGTTTCCTGTTTTCTTCTGGCTTTCAGAGGCCCTCTGTAGCAGGTTCCGAGGTTGTTTCCTATTGTCTTTTTCTTCTGATGTCCATCCTCTTTGCCTTTCAGGATGGGGATTGAACATTTTAGTTAGGGTCCTCTCTTTTGCTTAGTTTGTTTAGCTGTACAGATTTTAGTGGGTTTATTCTATGTTGTATGTTTATATGAGTGAGTATATACCATGTGTGTCTTTTTGCTTCTGGGACAACTCACTCAGGATGATCCTTTCCAGGTCCCACCATTTACCTGCAAATTTCATGATTTCCTTATTTTTCATTGCTGAGTAATACTCCATTGTATAGATGTACCACAGTTTCTGCATCCATTCTTCAGTTGAGG